AAAAAAAACAATATTTAACTGTCTCTGGCATTATTACGTCGGCTTTGATGATAATTTCTGTCTGATAAGGTTGGTCTGCATTCTTTTAGTCCTTCAAACGCAGATTCTTGGCGTAAAGATTTCGCCTAGTTTGGTTACCATATGAAGTTTTTTACGGATAGATACCCGTTAAATTGATTTTCTTCATGAAACTAGCAAGTGCAATCAGACCATTAATGAAAATTCACCTCTCATTGATGCATATAAAATGCACTACATTAATGAGACTTAAAATCTAGCAAAGAAAGCAGGAACAGCCAATGGGATCTCGGTGTTTTTCAGTGCTTTTTAGCAACAACATTTTCATTAATGACTGAACAATTAACATTTTTCTCTTGAAATACTTTCAACAAAAAACTCTCTGCCAAGACTGTCGCTTAAAAAATAATCGCTACTACTTACAGCGATGTTCTTATGACTGTTTTAATAGATATTGCTGTAGGCAAATACTACCTTTAAACGTCTTTGAGAGCTTTGGCCATGAAGTTGAATAGAAAGTGTTCTATGGTTTGCATCTTTTCATCTTATTCATCGAACGCCATGACCAATTTTCGGCATACTTGGTGAACTGTCGCCCTTCGTTCAGAAAAGATCGAGTGATACCCCTTAAATATGAATCATTTCCTGTGGGTTTTATATTCATCGTGCCTTTCGCTTAAGCAAAGGTCTGTCAGCCAACCGCTATAGAGTTCATAGCAAGTCCTAGTAACCGCGGAGAATAATTGTCCACATGCTTTGTCCTGGCAAGCCATCCTTTACTGTGGCTTTTGCTCTCCTTTCGCAATATAGAAATTGGGGCTAAATTTTCCAGGGTTTGTGAAATATAATGAACCTTTCACGCTTCTTTAAATCCCAGACACTTTTGAAATTAGTAATGGTTAATGCGGTACGCGCAAACATGGCCACGTTTTCTTTCTTCCTTATGGATCCATATCAAAGTGAATGTGAGCTTATGAATGACTCCTCCAAGAGCAGATATTACCAGATTGTGAATCGTTGTCGGGCAATGCATCGGTCATGCTGAGAATAACAGGTTATGTATCAACTGTTGGAATGACATGGTATTTGCGGCCAGCATGAAACAAAATAGTAACTGTTAGACATATCAAGTCGTTCGTTTTTCATAACTTGCAACAATCATGTCTTTCGATCAGTCTCTCTGAAACTTCCCATGTATAATCGATTTCCGCCGCCGCAACGTCTTTCATAACTCGCTGCAAGTTAAAGCTTAAGCGTCATTACTGAGGTAAACATTTTCTTGAAGGCTCGTTTAAGCGTAAGTTTATTTTGCGAGCGAAGACTTACTTAAAAACAGACTACGATTAAAAGAATGTAAAGAATCTCTGAAACAGCATCGATTCGTCTTTTCGTGCACTTACTTGAAAGAAAACGCTAATCTGGTCGCTCTTTGCTTCTAGCGTTTCTCTGCTACTAGAGGCATGTGGCAACAGGTCAGTTATAAATTTTCTTATATCAAACCGTGCAATGTTTCAACAGTGAATAGTTGTGGGATATCGATGTGATTGTAATATTGTAGATGAGTTTGACCAATTTAACATCTCAGCCAATCAGGTTGAATAGGAGAGTCGCTATCTGCCTCAACTCCAGCGCTTAGGGTAGCTTTGTTCGAGTCCCCATTTGCCTTGACAACCAGGCCAATAATTGGGCTGAAATTGGAGTATATCTTTCTACAAAAATCCACCTGTACCTTGCCCCTTTCAGGTCAGTGTTGTTGTTGTCGTACGGAATCGAGACAGATATTATAAAGAAGGACCAAGATCGGACAGTTGTATAAGGGTAAATGAAACAACATTCGGTCGCAGTAATTTTACCGGTGTCAGTACCGAATTGCAAAGTTTGTTAAGTAAAACCTTTCTCTGTTTTGCGTTTGAGCATTATAACCATACATAAAAAATTGTCCGCTGATATGAACATTTGTTCCAATGTTTCATGGCCCTGTGGGATGCTCATACTACTACGCGGCTACTCAGTTCAATGTAATTTAAAGTCATTGAAGTTCATGAAAGTCACAACGCTTTGTGTTTATTCACCCATTTTCACAGCCCACTATTAGTTTCGAGCTCGGACAGCCACCTAAGTTCTTATTGTTCCGAATCTTCGTCAACCCGAATAACTCAAGGATTAGATTCCAAGACATGACAGTGTCGGATTGTGAAAATAATTGAGTTTCATGGCCTCAAGCCTTTCCCTTGACGCCTAGCACGGGACAGTCAAAATTGTGGATTTCCCCCTTGACATTAAGATCAGTTCTTTAATCATTGCAGTTGTCGGTGTCACCACCGTTGGGAAATGCACATTATCCGCGTCTACTAGAGCCTTTGATTAGCAGCGGCACCGAGAAGAACATTGGCAACGTAACATTATTTAATTCATTATGGAAATGAAATATTTCAAAAATTTAAAATGGTTTCTTGCAGCAAAAAGCCAAGTGAAAGTTCGGTTGCACGCAATACAATGATCATTTTGTAGCAATGTCCTCGTTAAATGCTTATCAAGTCTGTGTTATTATAAATGAACTCGTTATGAATCATCACATTTTTTAGGCTTAAATGAGTACGATATACAGACGAATGAATGAAGTCTGCTGCTGCTCAAGTTCAGTCGAAGATGAGCCTCCGATCAAAATCGACAGTTATTGTACAAATCGCTCTTTCTTGCTCTCGTCAGAAGATTTAAGACGGGTTCTCTCTTCATGGAAATCAATATTACACAAGGATGTCTTGATCAATAGGATTTTAAAAAATATACTGCTGTCAAGCGACAATATCAGACAAGTGTTCCGGTTGCATATGTGTTCAGTCGAAGATCTTGACAGACATCCAAGGTTCGAACGACATTGCAAGAGTTTGCTTTTGTTCATGAACATAATCATACTGAAGCTTAAAACAGGTCCCAACAAACTAATAGATTTGACTCAGGAAGTGGGTCAGAAGCACGTAAGTTTCCGCGAAGTTGTTTTTGATGCCGAATATTGGCTGACGTTCAAACGCGCGATTGTCAACCATATCGTTGAAGAGGCGAAGCACGAGGACGAAAAGGACCGCCAATTAACGAAGGAAGCGTGGAATCGACTTATGACTTTCCTCATCCTTGAAATCAAAGATGCCTTTCTCAAGCACATCCAAGTACGTGGTCCTGGCTTTGGTGACAAACTTATGCAAATGGATCTGCTACAAGAAACTCTACAACAGGAACTGAATGGAAGTCACCAAATTTTGCGCAGTTTAAGTATCGCATGACGGCGTGCTTCACGTCCTCGCCATACTGGTTAATGATCACTTGTTAGCAGTTTCTTCCAATACCGTGCCACTAAACTGTTTCGATTCATATCTGCTGCTTTCCTCTCTGACAAGGACACTGTCAATGCATCGCTCTTCGCTCTCTCACACATTGAACGTACAAGTACAGATTAGCTGCAGACCACATTCGTTAAATTCAGAGCGCCATGCCACATTCTGCCTCTGAAAATTATAATACTTCAGCAAAACAAGTTCTTTTCATGGAGAAAAGAAGTTGCTTTAACAATGAAGCTCTGCAAGATCCGGATATATTTGTTTCGTTAATCAGTCTTTTTGAGTTTCAACAGCATTTCATTTTTATGACGGCGTCCATAATATACGTAGACAATAAACCTCGGAATATATCGCTGTGTCTTACGATCAATAATGCGATTATTGCCCGCCTTCTAAATACGAACAAGAACTCGAAGATGGCTGTATAGATATCACACATCTGAACAAAAAACCGTTGTCATGTTTACGCAATTCTAAAAAAGGAATTTTTTCAATAAATAATTGCATTTTTTCAATAATCCGCAACCGGAATGAAGAAGCAGTCATGGAACATGATGATGCATTTTTCCAATAATTAAAATACGACTTTTAATTTCCCTGATAAACAGGTAGCACCGTAGCGCAATACGCAGGGCCTAATTTCTACTACTCTTCGTTAGCCCTGACTAACACATGAATGGATATAATTTCTGCATTCCATCGAGGGGGGAGGGTAAGAAACTGCCCAAACAGTAGATCTCCTTCTTTCGCTGAGAGGTTACTTGACCTAGAGGATAAATATGCCGGCACCCATGGTAACTGCTTGATAAATTTGCGAAGCAATCAGAGAGAGACTGTCAAATTCCTATGGTACATGTAAGTGTACAACAAATACCAATCGAGGAGACACTCAAATGACCACGGATAGCAACATTTCTTCCCTTATTAGAAACAATCCGCATCGATTAACTGCTTAGAAATCTCTTCCGGTTAGGAGACCTTGGTATCTTGAGAGGCGCATCTGATCGCAACGCATCTGTGACTGCATATGCGGCTGACAGGCACACCGCAATTCTGTAAAACTCTTAATTTCCACCTATATCCGATTGGTCCTTATCAGGCATACTGAAGCAAATCGTGCCCTAAGTATCGTTGATGAAAACCGTAGAGGATGTTGTTAAATTTACTTTGTTCAGTCTATTATTGTAGCAAAAGATGTTCAGCTATGATTAAAATTCTCAACCACAACCATTGATTCACACCATCTCTGTAACGCCAATTAGCAGTCATTATTCTGAAGTCCACTGTTAAATTTAACCCTAAAGTACAACCTTAGCTAAAGGAGACAGCAAAATTTTTGCGTTCTTTAACAAATTCAATTTCTTTAATTCTCTGCAGCGCGCAATATATCAGTAATGTTTTATTCCGTTACGGATTATTATCAACGTGAGTAGTGAGTATCTCGTTGATTATTGGTTTATCGTGACAGCCAATGCCAGTCAAAATGACAACGAATCATTGAACAGATTAATGCTGTTGTTGAAAATTTCCTCTGCAAGTCGCACTGCCCACGATCTGTCACTGACCAATAAGGATATTTGCCAATGGAAAGCTGCAGACGAATGAGAAAATAGGCATATGTAATACTGAAGAACTGTTTGCTTCAGAAAGGCAAAGAGGAATAGTGTATGGTGTGGCTTCTGAAGAAGGTTTGAACGGAACGAAGCGCTGGTTTGAACATAGACTTGATACATAATGGAAAAACATTTTGATTTTTAGTTATAATAAATTAAAGGCGGAGTGACGAATGCGCGATAACTTTCCAATCCGAAGCAACATCCACAATGATCCTGCATTTCATGGTGGCAACAACATGCAGCGATGGCCCAGCTAAGCGTAGCAGTGCTCCCATTTCGATGGAACAAAGACCATGGCTTGGGTTAAGAGCGGATAGTTTTTTCGGGAAGTACAAATGCACAGAGAGCACAAAGTAGAAGCATGGAGCAGAAAACAGGAAAAGGTCTCTAAAAGGTTTACGGCCTAATTGATTGAATTATCTACTTCAGGCTTGTGTTATGTTCCTCCTGTCATCGTTTCCGCCGGTGTAGAGTTTAAACAACTGGGTGACGCAGGAACAGGTTCAGCCCTAAATGCGCGACTGTCTAGGATATAACTGGGCTACCGAGTGGGTGATTCCGGTACTTGTCAGGAGGCAAGGAGAACATTCCTTTATTCTCATTTACAGTGAGTGTCGGAACCTGGATAAACTTCATGCAATCACTAGGAATCCGATTTATCTAGTGAAGCAACATGCATATTATAAAAAATACCAATAATAAAGAAACGCAACCTATAATTCCACATTGGAGTCTGGTTGCAGGGATATTAGGGCAAAGCTGCGGCTGAAAATGACCGTATGCGATAGAAAACGGCTCCGTTAATTTTTTGTGGTTAGTCACTGCTGTTTTTTGTATATGCTTCCTATATATTCTGCGGTTGCACAGCTTCTATTAAACAACTTTTCTCTGTTTCCCATCGTGTAGGGTTCATACAATCAATGTTTTTATTGTAAATGAGGACTTTCTATACTGGTATACAGTTTCTTCCTTCTACAGCGTGTGATCAACTTTTTCACCTATGGAATTCGTTCATATGAAACGTGAGAAGTGAATTGAATAAAAGAACTATCGATATCGATAATGTTTATGGAAACCCTGTGTGAGAATGCAAGAAGTCTGGGCAATGGAATTTGTTACCTTTTAGTCGTTCCCGTTATCACCATACCCAACTTCCTGCAGGCTCATTTACTACACATATTGGCTACGGCGACTGACGTGTCAGAAGTGCGTAAACATCGTAGGAACAAAAATGGGCGTATGACTGCCTTGTCGTTATGGTGGTATCAGGGTATAAACCAAAAAAAGGGAACCACGTGGCTTATAGCAACCGATCTACAGGTAGAATGAAAAGTTCAGACGGAAAGGAGCGGGCTCATCATGGATATTTGGTCCCGACGTGCTGAGTAACTAAAAAAGCATCTCCAGTCCTGCTGCCAAACCGTGTTTTATGCTTTATCGGTATGTCTACCAACCGTCTCAATGGAACGAAATACACTACCTCTGGAGACAATGGCCAATAAGCTAAAACGAATTTTTCAAGCAGTTTAATTTCTGAAACAAGAGTCCTCAGCTGAAAATTTTCAGATACATATCGTCATTGGCTGGCATTTAAAACGCCAAAATATCAAAAATAACAACTTAAGCACAGAGTTTATGATAAAATAGACCGTTTTAAAATACAAAACTGACCCAAATCTTTCTATATTCGTAAATAATCTTTTCTCTCTCGAAGCAGTTAACGTACTACATACAAAAGTCAGACTGAAGATGAACACAAGTAAATCTTCCTAAGGAAGTAAACATTTATTTTTTGTTAGCTGTTGCACCATTTCAACGTCCTGTAAACGCACGCTTTTCTTAATTAGTTTCGTCATAGCATGTGGAGCTGTCTTTGGCATGGCCTCCAAATGCTGAATGGGCACTTCGAATGCGGCGCTGACGAAAAATGCCAGAACAAAGGTTATTACCAAATGGCCAAAAAAGTAGTTTACCTAAAGTAGAGCTTCAAATGTTATGAAACGTTAAAGGTGTGCATGCGATGTGCAGATATTGAGAATGATGACCTCTCATGCTTTATAAGGAACCAACTAGACAGCGTGAATAACGTACTAGGCTTTAAGCTTAACGCTTTCAACATCAAGAAGAAAATTATCAAAGGAACAGTAGTATCGAAACGTTGTAATAAATTTAATTTCGCTTGCTACTGTTCACTGACAAAAATCTTTGAAGAGCAGAACATGCGAGATCGTTTATTTTAGAAGGACTATGTCGATATATGAAGTAAGAGATTTAAACCGATACGCATACTGCAAATACTGAACAAATAGACAGTCACATAAAGGTTTGAAAAACTAAAGTTAACACAGATGGAAACATTGCAATCCACTCATAAAAAATGCTGTTCTGATAATTCCATCACGTCATAACAAAAAAGATCAATTCAAGTGAATGGGGGAACACTGG